ATGGGAGCTAATTAGTCGTGAGAGAAACAGCTGAGTATAAATATAATGATGGTCAGATGAGTTGGTGTCCAGAAATCCAGAGTCCCACAAAATTAAATTAACAACAATGATATAGTCATATCTAAATAGCTTGAAATTCAAATGTTTAGAACATTTCAGGTTTAAATTTGCATTTATTTCTGTTTCTATTTGAATCTGAATAGAGCAGGTAAGTTTTCCACTAGATTATTCACTTTTTCACAGAACGATTTTTCTATTGGAGTCTATTAATATCCTTTTTTAAATTTCTGACCTATATTTTTAATTTGAGTAATTGTAACCTCATAGCTGAATGAAGTATAATGATTCAGAACAGAATACCAAGCACTGGACCCGACCACCCATCAGCAGGGGTCAGTGCCAGGACACTTTCCATTTCCTTTTAAACTTCACCGTTTATTCACTTTCACTCGCTGTTGGACAACTTTTGTCTCTTAACAACAGGGTGGAACTAAAGCATTAAAATTTAAGCATTTAAACCTTAAAATGAATTAAAAAACTGATGCGTACCAGAAGATTTGTGGAGTTTTTACTCAATATCCAAATAAACCAAACAGTCAAAGAGCATCTTCCAGCAGCCCTCCAAAATGTGTTTCTGTACCATAATACAACAATGAGCTTTACCTTCACCCCCCTAAGTGATCTCTGGGTCTCATTTATTAAGTTTAAACAAATGAGAGTGTGTTAGTGAGTGAGCTGCTTTGTAGCTATAGGTGGATTTGGAAACTGCGACTAGAAAGGTAAATCTTTCCTACTGATCAAAAGACAAGTTAGCTAATTGCCTCCAGCTTCTAGCTTCATAGGCCACGGCTTGATATCAGTCCCCTCATCTACATTCAAGTCTGCAAGTGTTTTTCATGAAATTTAAGGTCTCCCTTGCTTAATTTACTCTTTTTTTCCCCCCTGTCAGCTATGGGCCATACCTGCCATTTCCCTACCTTATGCTAACAACTTCTAATTTCCCGCAGTTGACTCGGGTCAGGGTCAACAGGTGATGGTCAGATATCCCACAGCTCAGGGGGTTTCAACTCCATTGGCTCGCCGCTTAATGGCTTCAAGCCTCGAGGTGACATCCGTTCTGTTTATATACACAAAACACACCCTTACCCACTCACATTCCTTCTTTGTGGCAGATTATCGCCTGCATGAGGCTTGAAATCAGCGAGGATCGGTTTTCGTCAGAGCACTTTTAATATTTGTCACGGATATCGACCACATGCCGGCTTATGGTAAAGCTATTCACTATGATGTGGTGCATGTCATATGGATTTTATCTCACTGACTGATTTGTGTGTGTGTGTGCGTTTTTTAAGAAAACGGAAGAAATTGCTCAGTAGAGCAATATTTTGCTAAGAGCAACAGGAAGGACGTCCGCTGCTCTATTTGTGAACGACAACCAAAATAACACTGAGGTCGAAAAGAGAATAGATTTCCAGAATGTTAGGTTCATAGAGATATTGAACATGGACTTAACATTGTTCAAGAGTGATTTTTAACTAGTTTATTGACTCATATACACTCTCTATTTAGTTTTTTTCCTTAGATTTTCAGTCCTATTTAAGTCAGACCAGCAGCTTCAATCACTTTCTGTGAAAACCACTGAGTTTCCTTGTTTGTGTTTTTGTGGGATCTGTTTTAAAAATCCACCACAAGTTAATCTCAGCAGAGTTGTCTAGTCATTCCTCCTCAAATTACATGAAGTGTGTCGTTTCACATGCTCAAAAAACAGCCTTGCAAAGTTATATTCCTGTCTCAAAATGCCACATTCCAAAGTTTAAATTATAAAGAAACTTGCAGGTTTTGAACAAAATGTGGCGTTTGGACAAAACAACAGGCAGGTGGACAGGCCAGAGGTCAGGCATAGTGATCCAACAAAGAATAATGAAAATTCAGGAGCTTAAATACTCTGGCAGGTGTGGAAAGTGGCAACCAGAGGAGCTGATCAGAGGAAATGTGGTGCAGATAGGGCAGGGAGAAAGAAGAAAAAAAAAAAATCAGAGGGAGACTAGTTACCACAGAGCAGCTGAAACAGGACTAGATCAAAGGAAATAAAAACAAAACTGACAACAGTCTAAGAGAAGGTAATTAAAATATAATAGAAACAGATCACAAAAGTAAACAGAGAAACTAAACCTAAATAAATTAACTAATATGGCAACACCTTAGAAGCGATAACGGAGAAATACACAGAATTTGGCAAGACCTGTGAAACCTAAGTAACCCACAAGAGGGACGATCACATACAAACGAAAAGTAAAATCCAAGAACTGTGACACAATGAGGATATTACACCAATATGGTGAATTTTGAAAGAGCTCTTTGTTTCTGGACACCAGAGCTGCTGGTGGGATACAGGAAAGAGAAACAAAAAGTGGACAAGACGCCTTTTTGCAGCTTTATTGATTTGTTCAGTATTTACTCCCTGACTCATTACACCTTAAAACATAATTTAAGGATTTTAAAAAAATGTATCTGTAGATTCATATTATTACTGTCTCTTTTTTTTTCACCAAAATATGAGGTGAATTTTATTTTTTTTTTTGTTAACAGCCTGCTCAGACGTACATTTACTGGAAAAAAATATTGAAGTGTTGAATGCTTAATATTGGTAATGCTTGTACACATTTTAACAGGAGCATTCTGAATTGCCCTCATCCAAACTGTTAACGGCATTAACCATTTGGAGAGTTTTAGACTTTACAAAGTTGTTTCCCACCAAGGATTTTGAGCTGCGAGTTCAGAAATGAACGACCGCTTCAAACTCGGATTTCCAGCACAAGCTGCAAACGCTTCATGCAGAAAAGATTTACAACCTTTGGTTTCGCAAACAAAAAATATATCATGTCACATTCTGATTGTGCTTTGCCGGAGACCGCTCTTGGCAGGGAGTCACTCCGAGATAACCGGACAGTTTTGCTCAGAATCACCTGTTGATCCAGTGGTCGGTAAAAACAGAATCACGGTAAAGCAATTTGTCAAAACACTCTAAATACATGATGTCATCTCAGAACAAAACATGACAGTAAAAAGAACATTTCTTCTAAAAAGTTCAACCAAAATCAGGAATAGATCCAACTGTGAAGATTGAGGTTTATTAAGGATAAAATCAGCTTAAATTTATTGTGACGCGAATTCAACTAATTTGAACCGCGTCGTAAATTAACATTTTGTTGAATATTGTTGATATTGCTTATTATTATTAGTACAATAACTAAATTCATCAAATTAATGGCTTCTGCTGCAGTACATGGGGTACATTTAGATCACATTCAACATTTGTGCCATATTTTGAAAGAAAACTTTTCTGTCTTGCTTCCTCTTTGAATTCCTTTTTGACATAAATACTTCACAGGACCCATGTGATACCAACTTCCGTTTCTTCAGAAAGTGTTGACTGTTCAGCAAGTTTATGAGCCTTCCCATAAATGAAACCACTGACTGCTTCAGAGGACAGCAACGGGCAATAAGAGGTCATTTTTATAGGGGTGAGTGAAATGCATGAGTAAAATGTCTGCCTAAAAATGTTACTTTCAAAATTACATAATTTCATCGGAAACTTAGAAGAAATATTCTTGTCTCAAGACAAACAGCTTTCATTTTTCCACAGGCCAAACAACACAAGTAAAATGACTTCACTCCGCTTCGCAATACTCTGTGTTTTCCTCGGACCCAGCAGCTGTCAAATTAATTGCATCCCAGGTTTGAAACTGTGCTGCAAGCAAATGCCTGTAGCATTAAATAGAAATCTTCAGCATTTAATATAAGCAGAAAACGATCTTCTCCGTTGTCCACAGAAACTGTCGATGAGAAAGTTTTCAGTCAACGTGACAGAACTCATCAGAGTGGAGTCCATCGACTGCATCAAAATCCCACACAAGGTGACATTTCCACGAGACAAAGTGGCAGCCCCGTACAAAAAGATGTTATTTCAGGGTGATCCGTCAAACGTCGTTGATAAAAAAGTTGTCCACGACGCAGATTCTGACAAAGAAGATTCATTCTGGATAAAATATATTCCATGTAGAGAATATGATTATGGCTTCAAACTGGAATGGGGGTGTAATCAAACTTACACTTTCCCAAAGAGAGTCCACATCTCTGTTTTACGTAAGTAAGAGATTTTATTGTTGCTAAATGTTTATTGGTGGTAGCTGGCGTTTTTTTTTTTTCTGTACTTTCTAAAAAAAATAATTAAAAAAAAGTCATCACTTTGAATTTGGCTGTGGGTTTGACCATAATCTGACTTGCTCATAAAAATTTGTTCGTTACAATTTTTCATTAGTTTAACCCTGCAATTTAATTATCAGTTAAAGCTAACAAAGTTCACACAGGAAGATCATGAAGGGTGCACCACATCCTCCCTCCACTTCCTGTGTGAAGAATCATCATATATTATAAACAAAATGTAAATTTACCAAAGCTGGCCAACAACCTAGTTTTCATCAGTATTCCCTGTGTCTCATGTTTTAAAGAATTCTGGGTAAATAACTACCAAATTGAGCTGCGATAACGACATAAAGATTCATAAAGTAGCCTCTGATTAAAGAGCAACGATGCGGTTGAGACTAGAGATAGTTTAGGACAGTGGGAGACCACTCTGGTCTTGACTGTGCTTATACTAGCTGTTAAATCTATCTCTAGGAACAAAAAATCTAAACTAAGCTGAAAATATATTAACTTACTATTTCTTGTTATATTCTGTCAAAGATGTTCAGTGAAGTCAGTTTAGGTTGCCGAGGCTCGTTGTCACCATTTTTGACCGGGTCTTTGGTTGAAGCTCCCCTCCTTCTCTCAAAGTGCTGTAAACTGTACATTTAAACTGAAATAAAAAAAGAAGAAATTTAATCCAGCTGTGTGTTTTTTTGTTTTGTTTTGTAGGCACACAGTGATAATGCGTTAAACTTTAGAGCCTTAAAATTACAACAACAACAAAATTTACCACTTTTTGTTGTCTTTGCATCATGCTAAATGTGCTCACTTTAAACGTGTTCACTTTCAGCGTTGGCAACAAAGCCCCGACTGTTTTGGTTCCTCCTTTGACGGAGGAACGCTCTGAGCTGATCTGCAGCGTCCCAAAGCCGTGCTCTCAAGCACTCAGAGTTTCCTGGAAATGGACGAAGGCCGACGGACAAGCTAGGGTACTCGGAGACAATCGCTACGGGACATTTGATCAGCTGATTTTTGTATACAGATACACGTTGCGCATTAATCCCACAGCACATCATCACAACACCAACATCACGTGTGCGGCCGAATACGACAACGACCGCACGGAAACAACGGTCACTTTGCACGTGCAATGTAAGAAGTTTGACATACCGACACATTATGGCTCATTATATTGCTCTCCATAACTAACTTGACTTTTTTTCTTTTTGTTTGTGCGTCTTTCTTTCAGTCAAACCTAAGATCTCGAATGACTCCCACTGCCTGGTTAAAAGCGAGCTGCTGGTCTGCGTGTGCCTCAGTCGGGGGAATCCTCTGCCACCGATCTCCTGGCCTTCGGAAAACCTCACGGCTTTCTCAGTGACTAGCGTGAGGACTGCCCAGACAGTACGAAGCACTTTCACAATGCCTGCGTCCGAATACCATAACGCCACTGTAAAATGCACCAGCAGCAATGAACGCGGTCTGGCTGAAACCTCAATTATGATCCATAACTCTGGAGAGAGCGCGGAGCCAAACAGTGAGTATCCCATGCAGTCGCGGTTTGGGAGCATGGTTGTGATTTAAAAAAAAAAAAAGGTTGCACTAATTAAATCCAGGCCAAACTGATTCCTCCATCTGTTCCAGGCAGAAGGAAGGGGATGGATTCAGCTCTTCCCTGGATAGCTGGGCTGTGTTTCTCTTTCAACCTGGTCTTCATTACCGCCCTGATTATCCACATTCGTCAAAGGTAAGACAAAACTAGATTTTTAGCAGCCCACGCCAGTTTGTCGGAACAAAAACAAAACAAAACAAAAAAAAAAACAAATAACATTTTGCAAATTCTTCCTTATTTGCAGAAGGAACAATAAGCAGAAGCAACAGAGCGAAGAGATTAACACTTACATGTCTCTGAAAAAGGCAGACGTGGAGGAAGAATACAGCGTTATCTCCGCAAAACCCAAATGAAGCCTGCAAGTGTGAACCAATGTCCGTTTTTTTTTGCTACCGAGATGCTTCAAGGCACTTGAGCAAAGAAAATGCAAAACAAAAATGTACAGCAGATAAATATTCTATCAATAGCTTTTCAGTAATATTCACATTTATGCAATTTACGTTACAACGAGGCTTCTATATGTTCCACAAGGACATGGACCAAGAAAAATAAAATAAAAAGGAAATGATACATGTTCAACAAATTCATATCTACAAAGTGTGATGTGAATTTTTATTCAGTTCCTTTTACTCTGATGCTCCTAAATGAAATCCTGTCAAACAAACAGCCTTCAAAATGTTTCAAGAGATGTTTAAGTCAGCCTGTTTGTAATTTCTGTGGAGCACCAGGCCTGACTTCATCGGAGGTTTGTTTTGAAAAAACAGTATGATGGCTACTTTACGTGTTTTACACAAAAGTGAATAAATATTGAAACTTTAATCATAATGAATAGTATTGAAAGTGAGGAACTGTTGAGCTGTTGTAAGAGTTCATACTGAGTTTTTTTGTTCTTTTTTACATCAGATCTTCTCAGTATCTCATGTCTTATTCTCATTTCACATTATCATTGTGTAACATAACCAGGGGTGAAAGTACACTGCTCAAAAAAATAAAGGGAACACTCAAATAACACATCCTAGATCTGAATGAATGAAATATTGTCATTGAATACTTTGTTCTGTACAAAGCTGAATGTGCTGACAACAAAATCACACAAAAATCATCAATGGAAATCAAATTTATTAACCAATGGAGGCCTGGATTTGGAGCCACACACAAAATTAAAGTGAAATGTTCCCTTTACTTTTTTGAGCAGTATAGTTTTAAATTCTTGGGGGTACTGTGACAAAAAAAAAAATCTCTTTCATATATATATATATATATATATATATGTGTGTGTGTGTGTGTATTTTGAACGTCATGGCATGGACTGCATCCCAGTTTTCAATTTCTAGCATATAACCATTCATTTCTGATTTTAAACTGGTTATATTGTTCCTGTGTCCAGGCAGAAGGATAATGAGTAGGCCTAACATCATGACCTGTTTGTTCCACTTCATCTTCGTGACGTGGCGTCTCCTCACCCTGACTCTCAGATTGCTCAAAATCTTCATCAGCTGTTTTTTTAATTTTGTCGGGTATCTTCTCAGCTCCGGTCTCCCTGTCTTTTCTTTTGAATAAGGACGTTATTTTTCTCTGCATGCTGGTCAAGTTTCGATTTCGTTTGAAATTTTTAACAATTTAGTTGTTCTCGCGGTTTTTATGTAAAGGTTTGTAGATGGTAAATGATTTATTGTTCGTCCTGTCCCAAAGCAAGCGGAGGTTTTTAGTATTAGTGCACCACCTTTGCAAAATGACCCAGTCTATTTAATCGAACGCACCAATCCCCTTGGCAACCACTGTGTTTTGGAGATAAACGCGCAAGCACTCTCATGTTAAATTAAATGAAATCTCTGGTCATAGCGGTGTTCTCAAGCTGCGATGTGTTGTTGAAATTGAACCTAATTACATGAAATACAATTAGTTCGTCTCTCTTTGCTTTTACTTTGGATATTTTGTAACAAACAATGTTGACCTTTAAGGCTGGCAGTTGACGAAAGCTTCGAACTCCGAGGGGGGCAAAAGGTGGTGAATTGGTGGTGAATTGAGGGTCTAGCATATCACGAACAGTTCAGAATAATATGAAGTGAGAAAAAAGCTATTTATTAACTTATTAAGTCATGTTTTAGACCAGTGGTTCTTAACCTGGGTTCGATCGAACCCCAGGGGTTCGATGAGTTGGTCTCAGGGGTTCGGCGGAGCCTCTGCCGCGGAGGTAAAGACACACTGTGTAAAGTTGTGATGACGCCCAGTTTTGCCATCACTTGCTGCAGAGGATCACGTTACATTGCTTAGCCAATCAGTGCTGCGGAGGAGCACGTACCCCCCCTCCGCTCAACAGTTTCCAGCAGTGCAGGCGATATTTTACTTATTAGAAGGGTTCAGTGAATGCGCATATGAAACTGGTGGGTTTGGTACGTCAAAAAAGGTTAAAACCCACTGTTTTAGACTGGTCATTGTTAGAATAACCAGTCAGTCATGTCTAATCAGCGGACGCACTCACGGCTGCGTGCACCCGCTGATTCTTTACAGCAGACAGCCGCTCCATTTTCTTGAGGGTACTGCGTACCCCCGCTAAATCTTTTGGGGGTACGCAGTACCCCTCCGTACCCCCTTACTTTCACCCCTGAACATAACTATGGCGTAATATTCATCCTGTAATCTGTAGATAATTTTATTGGTGCAAACTACTGTAAATAAAGTGGATGTCTGCACATTTCTTTAAGTTTTCTCATCTATGATGCTGTCAGGCTTTTCACACCACTTTAAACATACAACCACAAATCTTTTATTTTAGGGGTTATGTGATAAATGAACATAAAGTATAAGAAAAAGGACTCATAGCCTTTTTACATGGAAAGAACTGAAAAGTGTGGCATGCATATATTGGAACTTGCAACTGTAAGACTCTTTGTTTATGTTGCATTTCTTTTCTGACAGATTTTTTATGTTTTCATTCCTCTTTAGAAAAACAGCTCAAGCCAAGCTGAATTGAGAGGAGATAACTGCAAGCCAAAATGTTCAAGTCTTTCCCCAGGCGCAAAGCTAGATTTAGGTCTGGACTTTGACTGGACAGTTAAAGCATGTCATGAACTTTCTTTGATCAAATCTGTTTTATTGTAGCTCTTATATATTTGCTTTCACAGGTATTCTTTTATTCTTATTTTAGTCACTGAAAAGAACTGAAACTTTTTAATGACTTAAATAGAACATGTGTTTTTCTTCTCGAGAGAAAGACCTTCCCCTTTTTCATGAATACAGGCAGTCCAATATTTCGCAGCTCATTGTTGTAACAGATCACTTCCACTGAAGTAATACGGCTTCAGGAGATAAAACGGTCTTCATTAAGAGTTTATTAAGACCTTTGTGGTGCATTAGATCTACATGTTGAATCTCTACGTTTTAAACTGGAATTATTTTTTGGAGATCTAATTTTACTTTTTTTTTTTTTTTTACTACTTTCAAACAGTTTTACCAAGACAGGAAAATGGCTTTGACCTTTCTTGTAATTTTATGGATTCTTCTAAGAACCACCAGCTGCCAGTTTCAGTGTATCCCCGGTAAGTTTAAACAAAATTAATAAAATAAGTAATAAGCACTTGGCAGAACATTAATAATTTATATTGCCTTTCTGTCTTCTTTAGAAACTCTCGATGACTCGGATTTTTACATTAATGTAACAGAGCACATTACAGTGCAGTCTACCAACTGTATTCGGATCCCACATGAAGTGATTTTTCCTCGAGACAAAGTAACAGTCCCGTACAAGAAGATGTTATTTAAAGGAGATCCATCAAATGTTGTTGATACAAAAGTTGTCAATAACATGAATCATGACGCAAAGGATATTTTCTCAATAACTACGCCTCCATCTGGAGAATACAAGTACGGCGTCAAACTTAAATGGGGATGTAATCAGACGTTTGTTTTCCCTAAAAGGATTCACATTTCCGTTTCTGGTGAGTGATTACTCTTGCCTCAAAGATTAAGACATTTACTTTGCTCAGATCTTTCTTTTTCATTTGATTCAGATGACTTTGGACATGATTTGCTTCAATAAAAATGCGACCTATGTGCAAAATGCTAATTAGTTTTTTTGTTGTTGTTGTTTGCAGCGTTAACTACACCAATTGTTGATTCTCGTCCGATGGTGGAAGGACAACGTGCCCAACTGACCTGCTCGGCTCCGATGCCATGCTCTGGTGAAGTGCTTTTGTTTTGGAAATGGACAAATGCTGATGGACAATCTAGAAGGAAAGACAATTACTTTGATGATTCTGATCACACGCGGTGGCAAATGAGATTTGGACCTCGACGTAGACAAAATTATAAATATATATTAGTCAATCCAACGGCGGATGATCACAACACCAACATCACATGTACGGCAACATATGGTCACGATGTTGCTGAGACAACTGTCACCTTGACTGTGAAATGTAAGAGATTACAGCCTTTATAAAATATTCTGCTCATAGTTTAATCATATGTAGATTTTTTTTCCCCTTCTCTGTTTCTTCCTCTGCTGTCTTCAGTCTCACCCAGAATCCTGAACAGCTCTCACTGCACAGTGAAAGGGGAGCTGCTGGTCTGTGTGTGCACCAGCTGGGGCAATCCTCTGCCACCAGTCTTTTGGTCTTTGGGAACCCTCACAGATTACTCAGTGACCAGTTTTAGTGACGCTCAGAGAGTAAGCAGCACCCTCACCATGCCTGCAGCGAAATATCACAACGCCACTGTCAAATGCATGAGCAGAAATGAACTTGGTGAGGCGGAAAGTCCAATCCCGATTCAAAACGTCACAGAGCCCGCCAGGGTGAACTGTGAGTAATCAAAAGTTTTGTTTTCATTTTATCCCTATTGTTCGTAGGTACAAAAGAAAAACCTTCATTGTTAATCTTCTGCAATTTGATAATTTTATTTTAGCTTTTCCAGAATCAAGCAAAGGGTGTCACTCAGCTCTGCCCTGGCTAACAGGAGTGTGTTTCGCTCTGAACCTGGTTTTTGTCGCTGTTTTCATCTGTATTTACCAAAGGTAAGGATAGAAATATGTTTCAGTGAGAAATGAACTGCCTATCTTGAATTATCAGAGCAAGCTTTGGATGTGAAGAATGAAGATTTTTTTTTCTGTGTTTGCAGGAGCAGAAAACAGCAGAAGGAATCGCGTGAAGAAGCAGACACCTACGCGACTTTGAGAAAAGCAGATATGGAGGAAGCATACAGCACTATTTCCCCACAAAATAAATGAAGTATGCAATTTTAGCCCTGTAAATAACAGGAAGTAACATGTCATGTTGTTTTATTTTATTAAGTACATGCCATGTATTTAAAAAATGCTGTTTAAATTATGCGTTTTAGTGACCAGTATACCTCATTATGCCAAATATGTTTATGACAGCCTTAAATATGAGAACCTTTTAACGAGAACCACGAAAAGAGCTGCTACTAATTCAGGTAAAAAGGAGGAAGATGAACTTTGTCAGGCATCTGATAAGGACACTTGAATCCACAAACCTACAAAGACAGACAGACACAGACCAATAGAATCAAGAGTTTAACTTTTATGACTTTGTTTTATTATTATTTGTTTTTTCCATATTTGTTGAAACTGTCACCATGTTGTGGCAGTATAATACGAGACAGATAATAGGTGAGAAGACCAGGCTCCTCCACTTCCTCCCGGCGCTGGTATTGCCGTCTGAAGAATTGCAGCGCCCCCGATAAAAATAAAAAGCAACCAATCAGAGCTAGGAGGAGGAGGGTCTTAGCGCTGTCATTCAACCTCGTGAAAGCGCTGCTAAATCTGTTAACGGCGAAGTAACAACACACTGTAACATGACAAATATTTCCAGGTTCTGATACAACACAGCAGTGTGTGTGCCATGATTGACAGCGCTAAGACCCTCCTCCTGGCTCTGATTGGTTGTTTCTAGTTCACTGGGAGAAGGCAGTTTTCTGTCTCATACTATACTGTCACGACATAGTGACAGTTTCAACAAATACATAGAAACACGTTTTTTAAAAGTCACATAACGCTTGGCCATCTTGCTTCCTTGCTCTCTGTAATACTCAGTGATTACCAAATTTAAATGTCAAGATGAAACACAGCTTTGGCAATTCAGACGATAAAATTCATCAGATGTTCATGACAACGCACCATAATTTGGAAAAAGACTCTTTTCTGTCGTCAGGCCTTCCCATACTCTGCAGTGTACCCCATGTGAATCTGGTGTGAATAAAGCTGTGTCAGCACATTTCTTTGACTTTGATGTTTCATGATGCAATCGACCGACAGATCAAGCTCAGTTGATCTATTTTGCCAGAAATTCTCACTTGGATTTGTGTCTGGATTCGTCTCCCTGCCGCAAAAGGAACCTCTGCCCCGGTTTTCAACAAACTCCATAAAAAGGGAAAGCATAACCCCAGCATTATGCTGCCACCACCATATATCATTAATAAATTCCCTGTTTAAAATTTGTCCTTCACTTTATTACTGACATGTTCTCCAGCAAACCTTCAATTGTAAACAGAGCTGTATTAACACTGAGGCACAACTGGGCTGTGTGTTCACTAATTAGCTGGTAATTGGAGATCGTTTTTTGCACTTGCTTTTATTTTGGAGTATCAGAGTAAAGTGAGCCGAACACTCAAGCTCTTCACACTTTTCAACATTTTTTTTAATAACAAATCTTGAATGTCTCCACTAGTTCAACAGGGTGAAAAGATTTCTTTTGCAAAGTTGTGTCATTGATTAAATCTTGTCAGTGTGAAATTACAGCCTGGCAACTCATAGCAGATAAAAAGTAACAAAAACAGGAAATAAAAAAAAAAAAAAAGATTTAATTACAAATCCAATGTGGTGATTCCGTTGCACTCATCTAAATAAAATTGCTTACGGATTAGCTTTTTGTCAACACTAAGTAACTTACAGTAACTCAAGTGAAACGATTCTCGGAATAATAATTATTAGGAAAAATAAGGTTTTCTCTGTGAAAAACACCTGCTTTTTCAGAGAGGAAGTTGGGATTAATAGCTGCATGTTGGTGGTTTGGTGTCTGCTTGAAAGTGTGGCTCGTCCTCTTTCCTACCCACTGAGCTCGCTGCTGAGGTAGTCCTCGTGCAACAAGGATTATCTCAGCTCCTCGCCTCATTTCAATCCTTTACCAATTAATTAGGGTCGTGCTATAAGAAGCGGATGCATTCACAAAGACACTTTCTCGCTTTCCTTTGTTCATAGAGAGCAAAATAGATTTTACAGTCAGATCTCTAATCAATAAACTCTTAAAACTGGAAATGCTGTGTTTGTTAAATAACAAGACAAAACACTGCCTCTCTAGCTCCTTTGTCAGTTTAGTTTGTTTCATAAATACGTGTGTAAAATGTCCCAAACAATAACACAGCCTTATGATATGTGAAAACAATCTAGCTCTTAGTCGAAGTCCTTCTTTTAGGCACAAACATTCATGCCACAATGTTCTGTTGATTCTGTTGAGCATCTTTTTAATGAACCAAGGTGTCTTGTGACAAAGACCCGAATGTCCCAGAGTGAAGAACGAGAGATCTGTGCAGTCCAGGGGCGGCGTCTTCGCTGATAATTTGGCGTCAGAGATACTGAAACGTCTAAAATTAGTGTCGCCTCGAGCTCCTGGTGAAGGGTGAGTTTGAGATTTCATTCACACTTCTGTTTTCATGGCTTGTTGTGGAAAGGTGGGGATTGACCAAACACAAAACTGAAACTACGTGGGTAAAAGCAGAAGAAGGCTTTGCTTACGTCTGTCCTGTGTTTGTTGATGAAACTTTGGATAGCTTTGTGAAAATCAAAGTATTTCTATGTAGGGGAAACAGCGTGACATATTAGGAGCAAAAGCTGAACTCGACAACATTATGTACAAAATCGACTGTGTATTTTATTGTGCTGCCAGGCTTAAAGCCACTCAAATGTTTTCACGTTTTCACAAATCTCTGTGCATTTCATTATAAAATCAGCCCCCCAAGTAAAATCTGCTCAACAAATAGTCAAACACCAAAACCAACAGACGGGTAAAACAAACCTTTAATCGGAGAAACAACCGGGAGGCCCATGGTTACTCTGGAGGAGTTGCAGAGATCCACAGCTCAGGTGTGAGAATCTGTCAACAGAACCTGCTATTAGCTGCACAATCTACAAATTTTAACACCTATAGAAGAGCTGCCATCTTTGAAAGAAAGTCAGAAACATATTTCTGGTACAGAAGCAAGAAGCACTTAATTGCTGAATGGGGGACCCTGACAACTGCTAAAGAAAAGAAAAAAAAGATTAACCAACCCACTTATCATGGTCTTAAATGAACAGTTTTCAACTTAGGCCCAGATTTAACAGTTATTATCCAGCACAAAATAACCTCGCCAGCTTTACCAAACTGAAAGAATCCATTCATTGCTCTCTAACACCATCAGATAAGTTTGCACACCCACTGCCCTGTTTACAAGACAAAGAACACACTGTAATTCGTGTACTGTGTGGAGTCCTTAAAGCATCGCATACAAAACTAAAAGACTTGAAACGGATGATCCGTCATGTGTTTGAAAAATATTCATTGTGTGTAAACTCATTTGCGAAATATGTTTCCCATCGTTTTGGTGAACAGTAATGTTTTATGAGAAAAAAAAAATATATATATATATATTTTGGATAATACTTAATTGTGTCCAATAAAATGATCAAATTTTTAATTTAGCACATTGGCTTGTAGGCTAAGTGTAGTGTCCAGAAACATTAGCTCATTTTAACAACAAGTATTACCGGCACATTTTAATTTGAATTCAACTAAACATGTTATCGTATTGTGTGACGTTTGTCAGTTCATTGTTTTTCGGAGGGTTATAGCCATATAAGTGTTTGTCTGGGTGGCATGAATGAATATAGTTATTTCATATATTTATTTATTTCGAACAGACAAAAGTAAAATCAAGAAAGAAGAAAAAGAAAATAAAAATTAAAACCAGTTGTCACGCCCAAGTGACATGCAATTTTATATTATCTGTTCGAAAAGGAGCAGGTAGTTAGCAAAATTTACTGACCGCTATAAGATTTGTGATTGAGGAAGTTTTGATGTTGTTGCATAAACTCATGCAACTTTTACATCTTTGTGACAGTCCGAAAGCTAATGTCAAATTTACTAGCAAGAAATTTTGATTTTAACCTTAAGCAGTTTATTCAGAGTTTTAAAGTGAGATTTTGTGAAGTTATTTACTCATAACGGTTCCTTTTTAAATGACTGTGTGCTTGTTGAAAAGTAAATAAACTCTCAGCGTGGCAGACGCTAACAAGCTAGTCAGATGTACACTGTCTGCTTTAACTTGGTTTTAACCATTTAAATCGACTCAAACTAAAAATGCTCACACAAGTTGGAATATCATCAGCATGTAGAAATTTAAAAAGAAACCGTTGTTAGATTTGTTTCTATTATTTCAGCCGTACTATCTCTGTGTTCGAATGTGAGGTTGGCGTTCGGTCGAGTCTGTTTGAAACTCGTCAGTCCATCCTCGGGCGGCCAAGAGTGAAGAACATTTTGTAGGTTTTACATTAGACTGTCAGAAGATGGTGTATCCCAGAGTTTTCCAGGTCTCAGAGTTGTTTAAAAATGACTCTGCCATCTCTCAGCTACCCAGCCAAATCAACCTTTTAGCCACTTATGACTTCTGAACGTTTTTAACATGACTTTAAATAAAGTCTAACAGATTGTTTTGTGAGTGTGCTATTTCTGCATCCTGTTGTTAGCATCGTTTTCCTATTATCTTGTTCATCCACACAACTGTCTGAACACATGCTGCGTCGGTGAGTTCCTTACATTGGTGAAGGAAACCATTACATATGAGAAACTTTCCAGATCCCCGAATCTAATCCGAGACAGACTCTGGGAATTGAATATGTAAGAATATAAACATATTATCAATGTAAACCCGACAACTTCCAACCTACTTCCTGAACGCGTGAGGTATGACCCATTTGATGCTTCTTGACATCAGAAACACAAAAGAAAAAGTTCTGTTCCTCCTCCATCCAGACTCCAATCAATGAGCAGAGGAGGTTGGGGGAAAAAAAAGTCACAGGCCTGTTTCAAATCCTGTGCCATGAGTTCATGAAGCAGTACTCAGGAGAGGGATAGTGTTTGGGGCGGATTAACCCCAGTCCAGGTGGTCTTCATTTATCCACCTACCCCCATAGAGGAACTTTGTGCCGTTGATGGAGCTCAGCACGGGGTCACAGCTTCCATCCGGTTCTCCTCTCTCTTACGCTAA